TGAGGTACCATTTTACATCTTCTAGTGTGGCTAAAATAAAAAAGGCTGACAACACTAAAAATTGGTGACATTAAAAATGTGGAGAAGCTGTAACCGGCTTGGCTCAGTGGATAGAGCGTTGGCCTGCGGACTAAAAGGTCCCAGGTTCGATTCCGGTCAAGGGCATGTAAGGCAGCTGATAGATGTTTCTCTCTCATCAATGTTTCTAACTCTCTATCCCTCTCCCTTCCTCTCTGTAAAAAAAAAAAAAATGTGGAGAAAAAACAACAAACAAACCCTGCTCAATTGGTTGGAATGTCGTCCCTTACACGAACAGGTTTTAGGTTCAATTCTCAGTCAGGGCACATGCCTAGGCTGGGGTTCGATCCCAGGTCAGGGTGAGTACAGTTGAGAAGCAATCGATGTTCCTGTCTCACATTGATGTGATAAAAAAAACAAACCACAGATACATAACACAGAAAAATCTCAAAAACATTGTTACATGAAAGAAGCCAGACACAAAAAAGCACATACTACTTGTACGATCCCATTTATGTGAAGTCTATGACTAGGCAAAACACATCCACGGTGTTAGAAATGTGGAATCAAAGTGGTTGCCTTTGGAGAAGGGTGGGTGAAGGAAATGGCTGGAAGGGGATATGAGGGAACTTTCCATGGTGATGGAAATGTTTTCTAATTTGTCGTGGCTTAAGTTACATTGTAAAAAGTTATCAGAACTCCTTGAACTAGACACTCAAGATATGCTCATTTTGCCTGCTTGGTGTGGCTCAGTGATTGAGCATCCACCTATCACGGTTCACTCCGAGTCAAGGCAAATGCCCAGGTTGCAGAGGCAGCCAGTCAATGATTCTCTCTCATCATTGATATTTCTATCTCTCCCCTACTTCCTTCCTCTCTGAAGTCAATAAAAATATTTTTTTTAAAAAGATATGCGCATCTTACTGAATGTTAATTATACCTCATAAAACATACAAAATAGGAATCTGCTTCAAGGCATAGGTTAAGGATGTTTCAAATGAAATCTACATTACTACACATACATTTTCAATTTTTTGCCTCTTTGGATTATTCACATCTCTATTCCTTCATTATTATAAATAATCTAATGGATTACAGACATGTATGGGTAGATAGATATATGTGTTCATGTTAATTTTTCATAAAGAGCAAATCAAGTTTGATTTTTTAGGATTTCAATATGTGTACCAAATGGATTGTTACAAATCCAGTTGAATTTTCTGTTTTTCTATATCATTTTCCTCTCAATGCAATGTTATAGTTGTGATTTTGGAGGTTTGAGATAAAACTGAATGAGAATAAGGCATGTAAATCAAATGTCAGCAAGAAAGGTTGATGATAGAAAGACAATAGTGCTTTAGCCACTATAACAGCCTAGAGAATAATACTCTCTTCAATTATTTTAATTAAGAGCCCATAATTTTTAAATTTAAGGGAAACTGAAAAGAATGAAGAATGCCAGCTAATTTGATCTTTAAAAGTTGATAACACAGCCTAAATAGCAAGAGCAGTGTACATCAGACTGATTCCTAAAAACCTACTGAGATCTTTCCTTCTATTTTACTGGGTCCTCCTCTGTCTTCCTTTCTCTTCATCTTTCCCCTCCCTCTATCCAGGTATATTTTTATCCTCACTATCTCTCTCACTCTTCCTATGATTTACTCATATCTAATTGATTGTCATGTATATCAAGCTCACCCCAGGTTCCAAGTAAATAAATTTACAAAATTATACTGTATTCTATTGTAGATATGGCACATAAACTCGCATAGTATACAGAGTATAGCCTGGGAAGACAGAGATGACCAGTGAGTGGAAAAAAGATGACTTCATTTGTTTCCCGTCCCCACAACTGTAAAAGATCTCTCCCTCTGAACTCCTACCGCATGTTTTTATTCCCCACAGATGGCTCTTACAGCACTCTGTACTATGCCTCATCTCAAAGAGAGTAGTTCCCAGACAAAAACCGTGTCTTAATGTCTGTATTCGCCATGAGCCTAAGACAGTGCTTTGTACAAGATGGGGCAAGACACATGATAAATCAGTGAATGATTGAATGAATGTGAATGAAAACAATTGAAGATGGAAGAGGATGAGAGAGGAGAAAACACTGAGAGGATTCTGCACAGAGAAAGAAGGGAAGGAGAGAGAGTAGAAAAAAAAACTTGTGAAAACAATTACTTTTGTTAAAGTGAATAGGATTATTTTTTTTCATAGAAATGTAGGTTTATTTTGTTGTTGTTTTTTTTCTTTAATATAGCAATCCTTTAATTTATTTTTTTAAATTTTGTTTTATTGCTTAAAGTATTACAAAGAGTATTACATATGTCTCCTTATTTTTGCCCCCCCTTGACATTCCCCGGGCCTCCCCAACCCCGTGTCTTGTGTCCATTGGTTATGCTTATATGCATGCATACACGTCCTTCAGTTGATCTCTTACCATGTCCCATCCCCCACCACCCCAACCCTCCCCGGAATAGGATTATTTTTTAAAACTGAGAGTTGGAAAAAGCAATTACTATGCATCTAATATCACAGCTATCAGCTCCTATCTTTATTTCTTTAAAAAATATGTTCTTATTGATTTTTAGAGCGAGAGGAAGGGAGAGGGATAGAGAGATAGGAACATCAATGGGAAAGTAATTTCATACATGGGCGGCCTCCTGCATGGCCCCCTATTGGGAATGGAGCCGACAACCTGGGCATATGCCCTGAGGGGATCAAACCAGCGACCTCTTGGTTCCTGGTTGACTCTCAAATGCTGAGCCACAGTGGCCGAGCTCAGCACCTATCTTTAAACTGTCACTATGAACACCTCAGCAGTGGTTCTCAACCTTCTGGCCCTTTAAATACAGTTCCTCATGTTGTGACGCAACCAATAAAATTATTTTCGTTGCTACTTCATAATTGTAATGTTGCTACTATTATGAATCGTAATGTAAATATCTGATATGCAGGATGGTCTTAGGTGACCCCTGTGAAAGGGTCGTTTGACCGCCAAAGGGGTCGCGACCCACAGGTTGAGAACCGCTGCCTTAAAGTATCTCCCAACCCTTGATATTCAGTGTAGTCTGACAAGCAAGTTCTAGAGCCCCACTTCAGACCTACAAGATCCCGGATGATTTATGCATGTTAATGTTTAAGAAGCACCACCCTACACCATTCAAGTCCTTTGTGTTGCAGGGAACCTGTGTTTTATTTAAATGGGCCAGTAGCTGAGACTAGGAAAATCGGATTAGACTAAAACCAATCATTGTAATGGAGTTTGACTTTACGTCTTAACTTTAGGTGAAGCTAATTACAGAGCAATAGGGCCTGAAGGGTTTATAACAAAATTTTGGAATTAGTCATAAAAATATGATTAAAGGAAATTGAGCAGGTCAGTAACAGCCTCCAGAACTCATTTTTGTTCGTTCATGCCTAGCACAGGGTTTGGAATGACACCTGTGGCCCATGTTTCCTGAATAAATAAAATCATGAATTTTTAAAAATCAGACATGTTTAGGGCTGGAATAATCTTAGGGTCAGCAACCTCATTTTAAAGATGAGCAAGCTGGAAGTCCTGAGAGGTTCAAAAGTAAGCAAGCTGAGCTCTGGCCGGTTTGGCTCGGTGGATAGATAGAGCGTGGGAATGCGGACTGAAGGGTCCCGGGTTCCATTCCCGTCAAGGGCACATGCCTGGGTCGCTGGCTCAATCCCCACTAGGGGGCGTGCAGGAGGCAGCGGATCCATGGTTGTCTCTCTCCCTCTCCCTTCCTCTCTGAAATCAATAAAATATATTTTTTTAAAAAAAGTAAGCAAGCTGAGAGTGAGAACATACTGGATCTGACATTTTCATTCCCTTTTTGTTCCTTTCACAGGAATGTGTTAGAAAGGAGATTCTAAGCATTTATAATAAAATTAGGGGCTCTCAAAGAAGCGATAGGGTAAAAAAGTGCCTAGAACTAGGAACAAGAGACTAGCACAAGTAAATGAGGCTGGACAAAACTATTTTTCTAAGCGTATTATTTTTTGACAGACCAATTAAGTAATCAATTTAATTTGCCGGAAAAAAAGATCATCTAAAGGATTCTCAGAAAAAGAAACATGAGCTGCATGAAAATGTTACAAGCCGAGAGAGACCGCACATAACTAATTTACATTTCACAGGCTTATTTCCTGTTCAAGTATGACCTCCTGCGATAAGCTTTACTGCAGTGTTCCTTACCGGATGACTTTTGGTTTTAAGAGAAGCCAAGGGCAAGTCGGAAACGCGATTCTTAACTAAACATAAAACAAAACAAACAAACAACAAAAAAGCAAAAACCCGCGGCTCTTTCTCGTTTGTTTATAGTCAGAATGCAGGCCTGCCGAGGAAACACACCAACCTCCTCCGTGGGCAAAAGTACAAGGTCCTCAAAAGAAACCAACACAAGCGACTTCACAGCCGGATCCAGCTGTGCTACTGGGGAGCCAGGAATTTATTCTAAGACAGAGAGAGAGCAGAGAGATCAAACCGGCGAGCGCAGGACAAGCCAGATTTTAATTTTAAAAAAGGGTGTGCCCTAAGGTGGTTTTTTTTTTCCTTTCGGACTTTCAACAAGCAGAAGCCTTTGAAGAAGTACTGGTGAGAAAACCCTTTTAAGATAACCGTCCCCCGAACTACGCCTGGGTGGGGTGGAGGCGGCGGGAGGGGAGGGGAGGGGTGGGGAGGGGGCCGGTCCCGAACCCGGGGAGGCCGGGCCCCCAAGTGATTCATCAGCTCAAGGTTCGCGCGCCTCCACCGCAGGCGCCTCCCAGCGCGCCCCAGGGCCCTCACCCGGGCCCGGTCACCCCAAAGTCGCCCTCAGCGTCCCCCGCTCCCTGCGAGGGACCCGTGGGGAAGAAGACCCAGGCCGGCGGCTGGAAGAGCAGCAACCTCTCCCTCCTCAGCCACCATGGCCGGTGCGACTCCCTGCCCGCGCCCGCAGACGGACTTCCTGGAAAGCACCCGCTGGACTTACCTACTGGCGCCTCCTGGGGCCACCGGCTTCTTCACAGACCCGCGAGGACTGCCGCAGCTCGGTTCCGGCACCCGCCCGACTGCCTCCCAGGGAGTTGCCGGACCCGCCCGCCAGTAGCACCCCAACACGACCGCGCTGTCTGTGAGGCTGGTTCCCCCTCCGTCACCCACGCGCCTGCGCACTCCCAGGTCGCAGGGCACCCTGGGAGTTGTAGTTCGAGCGTACAGGGAGAAGCTCAGCGCAGAACCCCATCTTTACAATCTGCACGACATTGGAAGCAGCTGCGGATACCAGGTCTACCTCCAGCCTGGAACGACGCTCTCTACACCACCCTCTGGAGCTATGAGCAGCAGCTAGTGGTTCTCAACCTTCTGGCCCTTTAAATACAGTTCCTCATGTTGTGACCCAACCATAAAATTATTTTCGTTGCTACTTCATAACTGTAATGTTGCTACTGTTCTGAATCGTAATGTAAATATCTGATATGCAGGATGGTCTTAGGCGACCCCTGTGAAAGGGTCTTTCCACCGCCAAAGGGGTCGCGACCCACAGGTTGAGAACCGCTGAGAGGCTCCTTGGTATAGATTTCCTCTGACTTTTATTAAAGAGGCATGCATGGCACGGCTTGTATTGTACGTACCCTTGGGGTAGTTGATGCGAGACATGGCATCGAGTCCTTTGAACTTGTTATGATAAATTGATAGGTAAACAAACAAAATCTACGGCACAAGAGGGTTATAAATCAAGAGGATGTCATCTCAAGGGCGTAGTGACCCTAGTGATTTCTTTAGGCCTGCAATCAGGGATGATGCCACAGCGATAGCAGTTTCGACCCCATTCCTTCCTCCCATTTCTGCTTCAAGCTCTACACCGAGAGGTGGAGCTGGGCTAACGTGGGTGAGCGCTGATCAAAGGAGGGGACTGGGACAGATGGGTAGTTTGGAGGACAGAACGAAGAGAGTGGGAATATTTCAGAGGACAGTGGATGGCTGTCTTTTGTGCATGACTCTGAGGAGAGGGAACAGCGATGGCTTTAGTCCGTCGCTGGGAATTTTTCTGGCCTGCTCTTCAGGAGTAAACCATTCCTAAGAGTAAACCGTTCCTAGGAGTAATGCTCAGCTTTGATACACATCTTTCAAAAATGTAGCCATGAAGAGGACTGAAATGCCTCGGTGAAGTACATTCCAGCTACACCCAGCCTGGGGACCTACTAATGGCTAAACCTCTTCTGGCATCTACTTCTTCTACTCAGAGCAGGGAGTAGCCTAGGTAAACACCTTGGAATTTCATGCAACTGGTACCCACTAATCCGAGCAATAAAGATAACTGATGATTCGGCATTTTAATCTCCCCCCCCCCCTAAAATTGCAAATACTCTTAGAAGACCATCAACAATAAATCATGTGGCTATTGCATCTTAGTGTGAATCACTCTCAAATATTCTTGGAGATAACTTTCTGAGAGCAACTTCCTACAGAGTTCAAGTTGAACAAATATTTATTGAATACTTAATCTACACTAGGCAGTGTGCCAGCACTTCACTTATAATATTTATTCAATCCTCAAAATAACCCTAAAAAAAAGTGTTAGTATCTTCTTTCCACTTAGTTTTCTACAGATGAGAAAACTAAGAGCCAGACAATTTAAGTAATTTGCACAAGGTCACACAGCCAGTAATTGGAGATCTAGAAATAAAGCACAGGTATTCTGACTCACATACTAGCATGCTTTCCACTGTTAATCAGATCGACGTGTCTCCTAAACCTCATCAAATTCTTTAATGTAAAATAATCTTTGATCATGTCCTAAATACATGAAAAAAACAATTCTCTACCACAGTCCAGGGAAACGGTACTCTGGATGAAATTAATATCTGGGTTCATTTGATAGCTCTATTTTTCTTTAGAAGTTAACATATAGGTGTTCTTGAGGACCTGAGATGAGAAGCTGGGCCAGGACAACCCACAGTCCTCAGTCCATACCTCAGGTGAGCAGTGAGGCAGACTGCCAGAAGCCGGTCCATCCTTGCTGCTTGACACAGTCGCTGCAGGGAGGAAACATCTGCACAGCATATGTTTCAAGGGACCTGGCGTATATGGCATACTGTTCTTAATATGTTTGCTCACCTTCTTGGTGCTATGTGTTTTAACCAAGGTCACCTCTCCGAGAAAGGTTGTTTCCCCAGGTAGGGATTTTTCCCTGAAGTTAGGGAGGGAATAAAACCCCTTAACTAAATGCAAGGTGGGTAGTTAATCACTTTAACTACGAACAATCACCCTTAAGCTACATAATCTTTACTCCCTGGAATGGAGATAAGAAACGCCCTAACGTTGGAATAGAAATTGACAGGATTAAAATCAACTGGTATAAATACAGATGTAACAAGACAATAAAAGACAGAACTTGGCTGGAGATCCTGGCTAGAGAACCTGGCTATGATGATCAACTGAACGCTGCCTCCGTGTCATTCCTTCTTCACCGACTCCGTCCACACCTATGGGGAACCCCTGGACCTGTTGGGGCTGGACCCCAACAGTAGACATAAGTTGAAATGCATCCACGCAAGCGGTGGAGCCTGGTAGTGAGACCTGGGGTGACACCAAACATGAGGTGAGCAATGGGGTCCAGTGAGGGGGCCTTGAGGTGAGCTGGGGCGGGGGAGCAAGTACAGCCAGCCTGTGAGGACCAGAAAAGTGTGCCTGGACTGTTTCTGGGGTAAAAGTCTCAGGTGCCAACTTACGTGAGACCACCCAGGGGAGCATCTTTCTGTGAGCACATCCTCTAGACTGGACAGTGGATTTAGGAATGTACAGTTGTGGTCCCAGTTTACTTGAGCATTGCGAGGGCCAACATTACAGGCTTTCAGGAACAAAACTGAATCTTAAGCCTAAATTTTTCAACAATGAAGTGGAAAACTATAAAAATGATAAATTTATTAGTAATAAAAAAAGACCCTAAGGGGTTTGTTCCATGTCCAGAAGAACATGGCTTGTAAATGTAGACCCAGGCTAAGATCTATTTTAGAGACCAAAGCCTTAGGAATTCCCTCCATCAGAACTGCTGCAATGACATATGAAGAAGTGCAAATTAGAAAAGGAGCGAATTGGGCTAAATTGTTTGGAATAATTTCCCCCCTCTGACTGTCGAGAGACAAACTGGGTGACCAAAGAAAAGGCTCTGGTGTTCTCACCACAGCAATTTAGGTTCTTATAATTTTTTAACTATTCCATGTTTTCCTCTAGTACTTTTTTTTTTCTGAAATGAAAATGGCTTTGTTTGTTGCAGCTCACTTAAACTAAACAGAAATATACAATTAATTCAAAATCCTCCCCCAAGTGGTAAAAACTGCTTTTGTTTTAAGTACATACCCTTCCAGACAACTCTACATGCACAGTTCCTTTCCTCTACTTTCTGTGGATTTAATTTACTATTCTAGATTCCAAGAAGGGTGTAAAACCTGTACATATTCAACTTGTCTCTTTTCCTAATATGTGCACTTAAGACTGCACATTTTTCTGAAAGTCTTGTAATGTAGTATTTTTATTATCATTCAGTTCTAATTATTGTCTAGCTCCAATTGTGATGTATTTTGGGGTTTAATTGGGAGTGTATTTCATAATTTCTAAATATAAGGACTTTCTAGTTAACTTCTGTTGCTGATTTCTAGACTAAATCCAAACAGAGCAAGGAACATACTTTATGTAATTTTAATCCTTTGCAGTTTGGTGAAACTTGCTTCATGGTACATGGTAACTTTAAAAAATGTTCTGAGTGTGATTCTCTGCTGCCATCTTGGGAATAACACCTCATTGCAGGTCAGCAGAAAAAGTTGGTGGATATAGTGAATATTATTATTTTTAAAATATATTTTTGATTTCAGAGAGGAAGGGAGAGGGAGAGAGAGACAGAAACATCAATGATGAGAGAGAACCATTGATTGGCTGCCTCCTGCACACCCCTTACTGGGGATGGAGCCCACAACCTGGGCATGTGCCCTGACCAGGAATGGAACCACGACCTCCTAGTTCATAGGTTGACACTCAAACATTGAGCCACACCAGCCAGCCAAATAGATAAATTAATGGAACAGAATAGAAAGTGTAGTAATAGACCCAAATATATAGATATAAACTCTTGCTTACCAGCAAGTCTCCTGTGAATTCCTGCTACACCTCTGGGCCATCACTCCAAGGGAAACTGATAAAATGGAATTCCTGAACAAGAAGAGGACTGTGACCATCAGATATGATTTATTTTAAGAAAGACTTTCCTCTGCAATATAGCTCATTTTGCTTTGCTTTTTAGGCAGAAATGGCTTTCAATTCATTGTCTGATTGAATTAATATAATAGTTCCTTCCTGACCTTCCAATATGGGGCTTAGGCATACATTAAATATATAGTTTCCTTTAGTTACTCATATTAAGTTTTTCCTAACGAATATTTGAATTATATTTTAGTTCCTTTTTCTAAAATAACTAGAGGCCCAGTGCACAAAATTCATGCATGGGTAGGGTCCCTAGAAGCTGCCAGCTGGGGCCTTCCTTCGTTCTGTGCCGCTCCCTGGTGGTCAGCACACGTCATAGCGAGCGATCGAACTCCCAGTCGGTTGAACTACTGAGGGGACACTTTGCATATTAGCCTTTTATATATATAGATGTTATTTGGTGCTTTATTTTTCTCCTTCCTTCAGATAAATGTTATCATATTGTAATCACAAGGCCTACAAATATGAATCTCCTAAACCCATGTATATTCAATACCACATATGGGACCAGCGATGTTAAGAATAATGACCTATATTGCCCTAGCTGGTTTGGTTCAGAGGATATAGCGCAGGGGTGGGCAAACTTTTTGACTCGAGGGCCACAATGGGTTCTTAAACTGGACCGGAGGGCCGGAACAAAAGCATGGATGGAGTGTTTGTGTGAACTAATATAAATTCAAAGTAAACATCATTACATAAAAGGGTACGGTCTTTTTTTTTCAATAGTTTTATTCATTTCAAACGGGCCAGATCTGGCCCGCGGGCCATAGTTTGCCCACGGCTGATATAGAGTATGCCTGCAGACCAAAGGGCCCTGGGTTCAATTCCAGTCAAGGGCATGAACCTA